AGATGCATTATGTTACCTTTAACCAGACAACTAGTGAAAAGCAAAACGTAGGCCACATTGGTCTAGACTAACATAGAAACTATTCATTTTACTCAGTAAAAACAGCAAAATTTGCCATATTATCATATAATATCTTGGATATGTTTTTATGAAAACTTCATAATCTAAGATTTAACTGTCGCAAAAACCAGTTTTCCAACCGAGAACCCATTTTGCGACAGTAAAATCAACGATTAACTGGGGCAAGCATAACAATATAAGGTAAAATAACAAAAATACCGAACTCCAAGGAAAATTCAAAACGGAAAGTCCCTTATCAAACGGTAAAATCAAAAGCTCAAACAAATCAAACGAATGGAAAACAACTGTCATATTCCTGACTTGGTACAGGCATTTCCTTATGTAGAATACAGCTTATTTGCAAGGTAATGATAAAAATGAAAGATAAATATCACGTGAAACCTCCCCTCCTCTCCACACTAAAAAACAACCAAACAACAACAAAATACAAACAACATAACAAAAACAAACAAGAAACACTGAGCACATCAATCGAATTTAATATATCCCAAATGAAATGTCATATTCCTGACACTTTTCAATAAAATTAGAAGCTTAAAATATAATAGTTCTAACTTATTGAAAACTAGTCATTCGATGCGAATGAATGAATGTAGGATGGACTAGTAAAACCTATACTTAAATGAATGATGCTTAGAACACTCATGTTATTCAACATTTTAAATTAATTTTGTTTGAATTCCAACTTGAATGAGAATTTATTGAATTGATATCTAATTCACTTTCCAAACAACATGGAAAATCAATTTTGAAATCCTGTCTTCATCACTATAAATTTCTTTTGAAGAGCATGTTTTAAAATACTTTATCTGCATTTGCATAATTGGTTAGATTGCATTTGATTTGTAAATGTACTTTACGAATTTTCTGAAATGTCACATCATGTCATGCAGTTAAAGAACAAATGTTTAGACAAGTAATCGACTAATCATCTATAACGTGAATCCTGATCATCTATAACGTGAATCCTGATAATCTATAACGTGAATCCTGATAATCCATAACGTGAATCCTGATTATCCATAACATTAATCCTGATCATCCGTAACGTGAATCCTTATCATCTATAGCGTGAATCCTGATAATCCTCAATAACTTTGACCCAGACATTTCATCGACGTCATAATGCATAATACATGTATGAACCGACGTTGATAAAGGACAAGGTTCACGTTAGGCCAAATATGGCCTTGAATTTCAACTTCATCATAAAATTTCAAAATGGCTATAATTTGGTTCTGAGATGGATCTATTTCAAAGGCCTTACTTTTTTCTTAAAATAAATCTTTTCAAAAGAGTACATTATTGTCTTCAAAATCAGCACAGTTTAGATATATTGTCAAAATACGATGATTTTGTGCATTTTTCGGACCTTAAAGCTTGATGGAAACCTTTGGCCGCAACCTAAGATCCAAAATGTTCTGTAACCAAAAGTTGCCAATGTCGACATTAAATCCCTAGACACAAAAACATTCTGGATCATCGGTGGCGGCCGAAATAATTTATCCTAAAAACTGCTAAGAATTATATTGAAAATTTGACCAAAACTGACGTTACAACACAAATAATACATACTTAAGGAGTCAATATTTCGTCATTTTCAATGTGATGTGCCAAAATGAACTTATTTTGTATTATTTGAGAAATGTCTAGTATTTTGGCCTGATCATTAAAATCTTATGGCCAATTTTAACCCTTCGGCAACTTACTCCTTTGACTCGAACATATCACCCCATCTTCCGGTTTACTGATGAAACAAAGAAAAACTCTTGTTTCTATCATGCAAATACACAAATACAATCCGATAAATTGATTATCAGGTTGTCTGCATATTTATATTGTAAAATATCAGCTGCTCGACACAATTTGAAGCTTTTTTGAACTCGTTCGCTGCGTTCACTCGACAAAAAACTTCATAATGTGACTCGCAGCTGATATTTCACAATATCAATATGCAGAGAACCTGATAGTCAGAATCCTAATCATTCATTGGTGACTCGCAGCTGATATTTTACAATACCAATATGCGGACAACCTGATAATCGGTACACCTGAATCCTAATCATCCATTGGTGAATTCAAATCAAACATTGTTTTTTTTAAACTAAGGCAACAAAACACACATTTTCTTAAACGAACGAAAAGTGGAAACTGGTACATTACAAAAGCATTTCTCCACTAGACCCTGGTGTGAAATTGTCAACATATGTGTATTCCCTCTTATAGAAGTTCCCCCTGTGAATTTTATAATAAGCAATGCCATAATATCTGTTCCTATTGGAACACATACTATATGCCCTTTATTCCGTAAGGAACAAATATTACAGAATACTTCTTTTATTTAAAACTAATGTTATAAAGTAACTTTTATTTCATGACAAAATAAATTCAGCGGAAATTGGCCTTACCTGTTTCGAAAATGTACAAAACAGCTCGACCTGTAAAATCGTAGACAGAGACTATAGCACGGTATGCTAATGGATAACAAATAATATAAAAAAAAACGGACAACTTTGAAAACTAAGGAATCGGTTATACTTATTTGTCAGTATAGTCGATTTAATTTCCAATTTCCAGGGATTTTAAAGTATTGACGGCGTGCATATAGCTGAGTCTACAAACGTAACGTCTTCAAAATACTTAAATCAATTACGACGTCGACATTTTTGCCTCAGAAAACAAACGCGTAACAAAAACACTGGACACTTAGTTTATCACATAACTTTAAACATAAACGTTAAACATATTTCTTTTTTTTTCGAACAACAAAGTGCAGCAAATACACATTCCGGAAATATAAATAAATATATGCTAAGAGCAGTTTAACGGAAATAATAAGCGACTATGTCGTGGACCCTATTCAGAAAATAGCGTTAAAACATCATTTCTTTAAACTGTAACATAATAGCTGGATATTTAAAATTTTCAGGTGTTCAGCCTGGACTATCGAATCATTCATATTTTGCAGATTTTTTTAAACCACTTGTTATGCACATATGGAATATCAAGTTATTTCGAAATTAAAAAATAGCAATTACATATTTTTTCTTACCGATTCTTACATTTTCGAATATCAATCCTTCCAAATTACTACTTCTTACACATAACGAACTACATTCCAAACTCATCTTCCATGGCCGTTTTTGAATTTTGTTGCATTGAATTTCGTCTGACGTCATAGTCCGAATCCGAAAAATTCTATTATAAGAAAATGCAGGAAAATATGTTGAATTTGTATAAATTTTAGGTCAAAAACTCTATTTTATGCTTATTCAATGTTACAAGTTTCAACTATCTTTGCCGTTTTCTCTATGGTCGTTTCATACTTTATAGATTTAATTTTGATAACCTTACTAGTAATGTGGATTTTAATGGCTAGCATTCATTATTTTATCATAAAAAAACTTCCTATTTAAAAGATATTTTAAACACGGTTGTATAAAACTACTTTTAAAAGCGCATTTTACAGTTGCCGTCAACTTTGTGCACGCCGTCATTGTGTTAGTCCAAATAATTATGACGTCGTCACAGCATTTATTTAAAATAGCCTCTCAATGCCGTCATAGTCATTATAATTGTTTGGACTAGCATTGTGAAAATAATTGTATGTATGAATTTCAAGATTATATATGCGTTACATAAATACGTCACTGTTTGTGATGTCCTGTGCTGTCGTTAATGGAAGATGTTCGTTGTTATTCTGCGGTTTACATGTTGTAACGACTATTATATTATTCATTTGTGCGTTTCTGTGTGCTGAGTGTTCTTGCGTTTGTTTGTGCTGTATTTCTGTCACGTAGTGTTGTCATTTTATCGATGTTTTTTAACATTGCCATATAAGCGGGAGGTTTGGCTAGCCATAAAACCAGGTTTAACCCACCATTTTTTCTTAACTGTCCTGTACCAAGTCAGGAATATGGCAGTTGTTATTTTGCATTTCAGTGTTTCTGTTGTTCCGTTGTTTTCCTCTTATAGTTGATGTGTTTCCCTCGGTTTTAGTTTGTAACCCGGATTTGTTTTCTCTCAATCGTATTATGATTCAAATGACGAACCATTAAAATCCGTAAAATCTGGTTCCAAAAAGTTCTGTCATCAAAACAATCTGAATGTACATCCTACATATACTATTGGTAAATAAGTTTTCCCTGGTCGGCTATCGAATGTAACACCGAAAGTCAACAGGACAAAAATTCACACACAAAAATCACAGACAATAAGTAATAGATAAAAAGTCACGAACACAAAGTCACTGGACACAAAGTCACTGCGGCAAAAATTTGTAACTGCGACAAATTCAGTTTGGAGATAATTTTGTTTTAACATGAAAAAAATTATAGAATTTATTAAAAATCAATTTCTGCATTTTTCTTAATTATATAAACAGCTTTGTAAACACAATATACAATATTATAACTTTAATAATGATATAAAAAAAAAACGAACTGTCGAAGTTTCTTGATGACTAGAGACGGGCTTCATGGTGCCAAACATATATTCCTTCTAAGACGGAAAAATTCATAATTTTTCATTTAACAAACTTATTCAACTGTTCAATGAATTTATCGTAAAAAAAAACCAATAATATTATGTTTAAAAAAAAGGTTACAATGATATTCTCTTATCATATATCTGAAAATGATTGAAAACTATTTTGGCAATTTGTCTGTCCAATCAATGCCTCTTATCGACAAACCATCACAACCAGTTTAAATGTACTTATTTGGTTTCTTGTGTGTTATTATGATATTAATAATTATATTGACTGAGTTTGTTTCTTTTCACGTAATTTTCACACTTGTTACTTGCACTTAGGAATTGAGGATATGAAACCGATAACAAATTTAAATATAATTTTTGAACACACTCCTTATTGTTCCAAAAATGATTAATTTTATAACATTTCTTTTTTAATATGACAGAATGTGGTACCAGTTGGGAGGTGACACACTTTACGGAAAACTCTAATGGTTACACGTGGGAGGAGGCGGATACAATATGTAAAGAAAACGGGAAAATGTTAGCTGTTGTTGATTCACAGGAAAAATGGGAAACGGTTAAATATGTTATAACAGGTGGAAACAGGTAAAATATTAATACATAAAAGTGAAGTTTGTTTGGCGAGAACAAAAAATTACTTGTGTTATATAGGACGTTTAAAAATTAAGCAAATAGGAAAATTTGCAGAATGGAAAACGATGTTTCATTTCTTGTTATTTAGAACTTTTAGTACCTTTTGTTAAAATTTCATTTGGTTTGGAATGTCCCGTTTATTTGTGCTTGGGATTAAGACTCAATATTTATCTAAAGATACCACGTTATAGATTTTCTCCATCTATTAAAATTCATAAATCTGTTTTCAACTTGGTTTAGAAATAAAACTGTTTCTTTTGTAAGAATCTTAAAGTATGCTTAAGAAGCTGTAATACTGTGACATTTAATTATGATTCAAAGATTTTTTTAGTGAAAACAAATGAATGGAAATTCGTTTTAATTTGTATTTGAATATGTTTGGAAAACAGATCTTGTTGGGTATTACTGAGTATACGTTTAGAAATTTTGTCTGGCGCCAGGGTTCTCTTACGTGCAATGATTGATACATTTGACATACTGACTTATTTGACCTCTGCAGTCAGACAGGACATGACTGCACTTTTATACATTCCAAAATATCAAAAACAGACGTCCCGCTCCCTCAAGAGTAGTCTATATACCAAACGGTTGAAGCCCGTGTGACCTTATTTCTATACCAAAGTCACTTTCGGGTTTTTATATAGTTGCAAATTTAGACACACACAACACCAGAACAAAATGTTTTTCATAAAAGATTAATAAAATAATTTATACCTGCAACTAGTCGTGTTGAATTAAACAAAACATGAGTGTTTTTGTAAAAAAAAAGTGTTCGAAGATGAAAAAGTGAAAAATCCAGATATGAATTGTATTTCATTTCGTCATCCAAAATTGGTTAGTTCAGCAAAAATCTAAACCGATCACTTGCAGTCGTTTGCATTCCAGGATGGCAAAATTCGAACATAAACTCTTGAGTAACGGTACAAAAATACAAAAAAAAGCAACATTACCCCTCTCCCAAAAAACAACAAAAACAAAACAATCAAAAACACACTCCACTACAAACAAAACAATAATAAAAAATATTATGCAGACTATTATGAATTATCATATTGTAGATACACTGCACCTGCCGATGTATACATTGGTTTACAGTTTACTCAAAGTATAAACAACTTTACATGGAGCAATGGGGCACAAGCTTCATGGACAAAATGGGCTGAGAACGAACCCTACTATACTGAGAGAAGACATTGCGTTAGGTTAGATGTGTATACAAACTATAACTTTAGAACATCTGACTGCTCTTACAAGCATCATTTTGTTTGTTCATATGAAGGTAAATACTATTTCTAATTATGTTCACGTTTGAATAATCGAGTAGGGCTTGAAAGAATATGGTTACATAAAAATCGCAATGTTTGTCGACAATGCAGGATATGCATATTTGATCTGTACTGGCATGAAAATGAGAATATTGTGCTATTATCTATTACAAAATTCTGAAAATTATTCAAATTAAGGAATATATCTCCCTCGTGGAAAGCTCTGATTCCTTTCTCGGCTTTGGCTTTTGTCTGTTTTGGTATTCTCAGCTCGGGTTTTGAAATATTTTGGCCTCGAGCATCACCGAAGTAAAATTGGTACCGTTAATGTTATTATAAAGTTCAGACGAAAAAATGTAAAAAAAAACAACACTAAATATTTCGTAGAATTACGAGACAACGTTATTCGTAAGTCATGATTTCGATGCATGTATTTACGTTTATTTTGTCATAAAAGAGTACAGAAAAATGCATATTATCATATAACCCGGACAATAAAACAAATAAGGTTTTTTGCAGTCAATATTTGAAATTTGCGAGATTTGCATGTGCTCTATTTGATCCTATTTAGGGAGCTACCATTTGATTTTTATTGGGGGTCTAGGATGAAAAATTTTGTCCTGCATTTTTTTTTTATTAGTTTATCCTGACTTTTTTTTTGCCAAGTTGCTCATCCTGCCTTTTTTTTACTTAAAACTCCTGTCCTGTTTTCAAATTCCATCCTACCTCCCCCCCTCCCCGCCATAAAAATCAAATGGTAGCTCCCTTAGTAAAACGAATATTGAATAGAAAAAAAAATAAATGCAGTACAATTATACATTTCGACAAACATAATATGGTAGCATAAATATGGCAAGTTTTTCACTGTTTAATTTCAATCGCCTACTTTGTTTATATACATTCGAACAATACTATAGTAATAAGATTTTTTATTTAAATCAGCACATTCCCCTGTTGATTGATCGAGTTCACCTTGCAATTCTCTAATCACCCTAGGATATATGGTATATCGAGGCCTAAAATAAGAAAATAATAAATATAATAAAACTAAGAAATAATTCTTACAACTGAACTACAAATAGTCCAGGAAATATCAGAAAAACCCTGCACAATGTGGTAAAAGCATGAAACTTGGTATATAAGCTCCAGATACCATTCTAAGCAAAATAAGATATGGAGCCAACCTGAAAAAAATCAACTTCCGGTTTTTTCCTAGATGGCGGACAAAATTGCAAAAATTCTAAGCTAAATATCAAAGAAATCATACACAAGGTGGTAAAACAATGAAACTTTATATATTATCTCTTTAGACCCTTCTTAACAAATGAAATTATGAAACCAATATGAAAAACTATCAACTTCCGGTTTTTTCCAAGATGGCGGCTGAAATAACAAAAAAAATAAAACAGGTCAATATGACGTTGCAATATTTACAATAAAAATATATCAGAGGAGTACAATTGAAAGTAATATATATACAGTAGCTGTTATATGCAATAACACGTTCATTCATCTTGTTTGTGTCGGTAAACCCTATACTCTGCAGTCCATCAGGCACAATCCCCACCACACTTGCCTAAAGCTGTATTCGGAAGGGCGGATTTGAAACCCTTGCATTGTCCTCGACAACCTTTCTTGCATCCACAGTGAACAAGTACCTGTAGTGAAGAGGTTGCCTCTGTCAATATTGTTCAGAACGGGTTCTTACATGCCGTTGTTTTGCTTCTTCCAACCATACAAGTCTGGGGATGGAAGAACAGGCTGTAAAAGCAAACACTGTATCCAAATCAATCCAGCTTGGTACACAGAACGTTTGGCATGTTGGTAAAGTGCCTCTCTTGTTGGTGGTACAGACTCGATTGATCTACCTTTATGTGCAAAGAGTACTTTTCTAGCTTCATTTACAGTGTTGGATTCACTTGTCCGATGGTACAAAAGAACAACATATCGCTCCAGCAATGGTAGAATTAAATCACGGTATATTGAACTTGGTTTGTCTGTCATCTGTCTAAAAGCAGCTTGATACCTCGGGGAAAGTATTCCATGTACCCCATGCTGTTTTCTTTCCTCGTCCTGCAAATGAAGATACAGTGTCACAACCTGTAAAGGCGTGGAATATTGGTAAAAGCATGGATTCAAGAGCAAAGATTGTGCAATATCATGAATAGGAATGTAACGAAAATGTTTCCCAGTTGCAAATGCTATCCATATCTCATCAGCTTCTGTGTCCTTAAATACAGATATAGCGATCACAATTACGTCTGTATCCACAGTTTTAATGCTGATCTTTTTAAAACCATCCCTGACTGCATCTGCAACGTGAATCTTGACTATCGTATCTGCTTCTTCGTGTTTGTACGGTTGCAGTTTTGACTTGTCTATTTGTGCCTGGTTTGAAATCCTATTCTCTCCAACTGTACAGATAACATTCTTTTCAGTATTTGCTACTTCTACCAACTTTTCCGATAGAAACTGAAACAGCTCCATTTAATTCGCATCAACCTGTAGAAAGTCATGCCAATTCTAAGGGATATTTGTTTGAGCTTGAACTCGCCTTCGAATTCCCTTCCCTTTATTTTGTCTGATTGCACTTTTGAGGCTGTTTTCTACATATGTGTCCCATACTACATCAACGCGACCAACATCGCTATTTCGGTTTACTATGTAGGGAACAAACACTTTTACCGCATAAAAGAAATAGCATTGGTCCAACCTGACGCTTCCAGCCTATCGCCAATAGTTTTTTTAAATGGCCATCGCGATATGGAGACCTCCAAACAAAATGAATAGTTTATCTTCGCCGTAACCAGAAGAATCCGCCATCATGAGTCAAAATGGGACCATACGTCAGTGTGATAAGTCAGATCTATCAAGAAAATGTCTTGAGCCGTTAATATCTAAAACAATAGTTAACCCTCAAGTGAATGCAACAATAATTGAATGTGCAGCAGTAGTCAATATGCTCAAGCCTGGTGCAGCATATCATTTCATGATTATGCGGTAAAAATGTTCTTCACTACTTAGTAAACCGAAATAGCGATGTTGAACGCGTTGATGTAGTATGGGACACATATGTAGAAAACAGCCTCAAAAGTGCAATCAGAGAAAAAAGAGGGAAGGGAATTCGAAGGCTCAAACAAATATCCCTATAGCTAAGAACTGGCATGGCTTTCTACGGGTTGATGAGAATAAAAGGGAGCTGTTTCAGTTTCTATCAAAAAAGGTTGGCAGAAGCAGCAAATACTGAAAAGAATGTTATCTGTACAGTAAGAGAGAATGTGATTTCAAACCAGGCACACATAGATATGTCAAAACTAAAACCGTGCAAACACGAAGAAACTGTTACGAGAGTTATGCTTCACGTTGCAGATGCATTTAGGGAAGGTTTTAAAAAGATCAGCATTAAAACTGTGGATACAGACGTAATTGTGATCGCTATATCTGTATTTAAGGACACAGAAGCTGATGAGATATGGATAACATTTGCAATCGGGAAACATTTCCGTTACATTCCTATTCATGATATTGCACAATCTTTGGGTTCTCTTAAATATAGGATTTTACCAATATTCCATGCCTTTACAGGTTGCGACATTGTATCTTCATTTGCAGGACGAGGAAAGAAACAGCATGGGATACATGGAATACTTTCCCCGAGATATCAGCTGCTTTTAGACAGATGGCCGACCAACCAAGGACAATATGCCGTGATTCAATTCTACCATTGCTGGAGCGATATGTTTTTCTTTTGTACCATCGGATAAGTGAATCAAACAGTGTAAATGAAGCTAGAAAAGTGCTCTTTGTACATAAAGGTAGATCAATCGAGTCTGTACCACCAAAAAAGGGGCACTTTTCCAACATGCCAAACGTTCTGTGTACCAAGCTGGATTGATTTGGATACAGTGTTATCTTTTACAGCCTGTTCTTCCATCCCCAGACTTGTATGGTTGGAAAAAGCAAGACAACGGCATGTAAGAACCCGTTCTGGACAATATTGACAGAGGCAACCTCTTCACTACAGGAGCTTGTTCACTGTGGATGCAAGAAAGGCTGTCGAGGACAATGCAAGGGTTTCAAATCCGCCCTTCCGAATACAGCTTTAGGCAAGTGTGGTGGAGATTGTGCCTGATGGACTGCAGCGAGTATAGGGTTTACCTACACAAACAAGATGAATGAACGTATTATTGCATATAACAGCTACTGTATATATATTACTTTCAATTGTACTCATCTGATATAATTTTTTGGTATATATATATAATTAATTATCTAATTACTACCACAATTTGATATTAATAGTATTGTAATTTTCATTGTTATTAATGAATGTAATGTCAGTATTACAAATCTAATCTTGAATCAATCCTAATTCTATCTTATTTTTGGGAAATATTTTTACAAATTCAAATGTGACGTCACTTTATGTGGGTTTTTTTAGAATTTCAAATGTGACGTCACTTTGTGCGTTGAGGCTTTGGCTAACTCGGCTGTGTATTTTTATGTGTTGGATTAAGTTGTTTTATGTAATGTATCCGTTTTTATTCAGTAGTTAGTCCCCACTTCGGTTTTATCATGTATATCTATTATATAGTCATTTTATAAAATTTACTGTTTGCAAAAGTATAAATTATTCTAAATAATAAGGATGTTCTTGTCCCAGGCAGAAAACTCTAGTCGTGTTAGGCGCAACTTTTTGGAAGTTTTGGTCCTCGGTGCTCTTCAGCTTTGTACTTGTTTTGGCTTTCAAACTTTTTTCATCTGAGCGTCACTAGTTAGTCTTGTGTGGACGAGACGCACGTCTGGCGTATTAAATTTTAAACCTAGTACCTTTTGTTAGCTATTATTCGTGTGTTTCTTTGTCCTATATGTTCTCCCATTTATATGTATTGTAGTCATGTCATGTAATGTTGTCATTTTAATGTTATATTTAACATTGCCATAAAAGCGGGAGGTTTGGCATGCCACAAAACCAGGTTCAACCCACCATTTTTCTTAAAATGTCCTGTACCAAGTCAGGAAAATGGCCATTGTTACATCATAGTTCGTTTCTGTGTGTGTTACATTTTAATGTTGTGTTTTTGTTGTGTCGTTGTTCTCCTCTTATATTTGATGCGTTTCCCTCAGTTTTAGTCTGTAACCCGGATTTGTTTTTATCTCTATCGATTTAAGAGTTTCGAATAGCGGTATACTACTGTTGCCTTTATTTGCAACTTCCTTTTGACTTGTTTTAACATTTTTGTTATTTCGGCCGCCATCTTGGAAAAAACGGAAGTTAATAGTTTTTTATATTGGTTTCATATCTTTATTTGTTAAGAAGGGTCTAAAGAGATAATATATAAAGTTTCATTGTTTTACCACCTTGTGTACGGTTTCTTTGATATTTAGTTGAGAATTTTTGCAATTTTGTCCGCCATCTTGGAAAAACATGGAAGTTGATTTTTTTCAGGTTGGCTCCATATCTTATTTTGCCTAGAATGGTGCTAGGAGCTTATATACCAAGTTTGATGCTTTTACCACATTTTGCAGAATTCTGATGAAAAATTGGACTTAGCTGCTTGACTAAAAGAAAACAATTGATTTTGCCTATACCCTTCGATAAAACCACATGTTCGCCATGCCGTTTGCTACTATGTTAGTAGTTTCATTTTCTTTCATAAATGACATTAACCTCCTGATGCTCAGGAAGAAGGCAATGATTTTATCCAACAACTTCCATTGTAATGTAATATTGACGTAACATGCCTCCGGTTGACACATTGCTGTTGTACTGTGCTTGGATATACTAAACCGTATCAGGCACACTTATTGATTCTGACAATAAAATCAGTGCAAGATTTTTCGCCCGACAGGAAATGGAACTTCAATGAACAAAATCTTTATCTAGTATCGAATCAAATTTAAGAGTTATATAACAAATGTTGACATATTATTTTAATAAAAAGAATTATTCTGTAAACCCCAATGTGTCAATCGACAAATATAGAAATTCCTGTTATTTTTCATGAAAGTTCCAGTTTTAAATCTAATCTTGCATAGGTTACAGAGCAATAAACAAAGTAACACATTGTTATAATTGTTACACGGCTTTTACAACTAATGACCCATCTCTGTTAGATTGGAGAAGTCAGTTTAATCTTTGTGAATATTCTGTCTCATGGATTGATTTGGACGGAAATACTTCGCTATTATAGTTCAAACATATTGATTATAAAAAAAAAACAAAGTCACATTTAAAAAAGAACAAAAAAATGTCACACTACAAAAGATTCTATCGATTGAAGACATTTCCTTCAAGTGCGTTGTATAAAAGTTATAATGGGAGTGCTTGGAATTATATTTTCATCGATATGCAGTAATTGAAATAATACCATGTCATAGACCGGTAATGTGTACAATATCTGTAATATAAACATTATAAAACATTATAATTACAGTCAGAAGCATAACTTTAGTCAGACAATAGTCCTGATACTCTAAAGCAAATATTGTGGAAACCAAAGTCTGGTTCTTGCATCAATTATCCCATTAAATGTATGTTCTATGATCGTAGCAGTTTTTTTTTTCTGCAAAACTTAATGAAACGTTAAGCAATTCACGATCGTTATACCATTTTATCAAATACCAACCGGCTACAAAAATAGATGGACGAGTGTTTTTTTTTTTTTTTTTTTTTTTTTTAAGATTTACGTGACTTAAAGATAAACAATACAAACGACTCAGTCTGTGTCTGTTCCTTTTTATTATTTATTTAGATAAACAACACAAACGCCTCTGTGTCTGTTCCTTTTTATTATTTATTTAGATAAACAACACAAACGCCTCTGTGTCTGTTCCTTTTTATTATTTATTTAGATAAACAACACAAACGCCTCTGTGTCTGTTCCTTTTTATTATTTATTTAGGACCAGATCAATACTAAACATTCAAAAAAAGATTTTTCTACTTGTTTGTGCCCCCGCCGCATCGGAGGGGGGCATTAAGTGTTACCCTTGTCCGTCTGTCCGTCCGTTTGTCCGTTCACGAGTACGTACATACATACGTCCCAAAATTGGTTTCCGTTCTCTCACTTTTGTTTGCCTCAACCGAATGTAATGAAACTTATACACAATGCTCATTACCATAAACACAGATCAAGTTCGAATTTAGTTTGCGTCACTTTTACCTTCTTGAGTTATGTCCCTATATAACGTTATATGCAAGCGTGAGTATCATCTGTGTCAAATGGACACATTCTCCATTTATTTATTGATAATTCTCTATCCAAATACCGGTATTCTGAAGGGTTTAAATGTGCGTTAACGTTTTGATTTTTTTGGAATCTCATTTGATTTTTCATGCATTCGTATACAAGGTTTTCCAAATGGTCTTGATTATGTTTAATCCTGAAAACTGCTTCGAACGTTTTAAATTCGGTGTGACTAAAATATTTTACTTGCAGAGCTCATTGGTATAGCTGACTATAGAAAAAGAGCAATGTTTTTTTTTAGTTTTTGACAACTTACTTGATCATATGTTTTGAATACTTTGCATTAACAAGATCTCTGTCGTATTCTTTTGTTTAACAAGAGATAAAACAAGTTAGTTAACTTAAATGCACGTGGAACTTCTCTTCTAAATATGTCTTTTAAACAGAGTATACATATTTGTTTCTATATGTACAGTTTATGTACCAGATCCTGTTGTACAAGGTATTAATGCTTTTACTTAATGTATAATTAGATCAAATTCATAATCCTTATCCAAATCAGTAGTAGAAACAGTACAACCCAAAGTATAGTCCTGATCGCTAAGATGCTAAACCGTAAAATATTTGGATACTATTTCAGGAGAAATATGCAATTCTCTGTTCAAAGATTCTGACATCAAAGAAAACAACTGGTATATTGTTTAAAAGAAAATGAATAATTCCTTACTTCGATCAGGATTAAACTTTATGTGTTCTGTCTATGGCTTAAGTACATCGCTTTTATTATCATAAAAAGATAATGCGTAGTCTAGTGCAGCATCCAACAAATAAATTGTTACCTCAACATTGCTTTTTTGTATGTATGCTTGTTTATTTATTTTTGACGTGTTGCTTTTTTATTATTATTCTTATTCATAAAAGGAATATAATTTAAAATAGTTGATGTTTCGTAAAAGGTTTTGCTTCTTAATAAAGAAAATTAAAGATAAATCTGACATTTTTCATGCTCTAGAAACACATCATACACAAACCTAGTATAACAGTCTCGAACTGTTATATCATTCCTACATGTAGTTTATAGAGAACAAAAATAAAGCATTGCCTACTCGTACCATGAGTACTGGTACTCGTACCAAAGTCAGGAGTGTGTAAAAGGGGTAAGCAAACCTGGTGGACAAACATAACTTGATCAAAGATAGTAGAAAAATAACAAAAAGCCCTTATAGAAGATTATAATGTAAATTGATATATACATTACACGTCAGTAGATTACTATTTTTGTGCTAACTCAAATGAATTTCCTTATATAAATATATAAATGTAAAAATGTAACAATAGCGTCGATTCATGACAAATTTGCTGTACTGCAATAATGTTCTTCTTTGGACAATAAACCTATTTTATTTGGTGTTTTTTCACTGTGGTTACACATATAAAAATATTTTGTTTTTAATTTTCAGAACTTGTTACATCCACAACAGCAGTATACACGGTAAGATCTAATTACCGTATATCGCGTTATTTTCGCGTCGGTTTTTTTTTGTGGTTTGGACCCTTGGTGGATTGTTAAAACTTTACTGTATTCATTATTCGCGTTTTTAGCCTCGTACAATGCATCTTAATTAACAGTCAAATGTTAGCGAATATAGCGTAAATTAAACACACGCGAAAATTTCCCATAAAGCAACATACAAAACACGTCTGTCACAGTCAAATATAGATTGAGCAACACAAACCCAACGAAACTGGCGGAAAACTCAGGTGCTCTGGAAGACTTATAAGTTCCAGCTCCACTATAGTAGTGACACCCGTCGTATTACTCAAAATGACGTTTTTTTTATTTATTTTATCATTACCAAACTCAAATATTTTTCGAGAACGGTTTATTTTGTTTTAATCCTAGAAGGGGAAAAGGGGGGGGGGGGTGGATATAACATTACAAACAATTTGCCTCGTACATAACACTAAAAAATATTTCAATGTATTTTGATGAGTCAATTTGAGCTTTTTCCGAAACAAATTCAAGGGTCGTTCGGTCATACTTAAATTAGCATTTGTTTTATAGAAAATTGAAACGAGAACACGAAAATATGGAAATAAAAGCAAAATACACTGGTATTTTTTACCATTAAGTAAGCTGAGATTAAAGAAATCAGATTCTGTATTATATTATAATGACAGTGTTCTATGTTTCCTTATTTTAGGGCTCATCTGGTATAAAATCGGACATGATTGTCGGGATGTCAGTTGGATTCGGAATATTTTTAGGCATCGGAATAATAATTTGCATACTTTGTCGTTGTTGCTGTAATTTCCAACAGGAGAAAAAGTATACGGAAAGTTCTAAGCAGAGCAAGCCAATCCTACCAACCAGATCACAAGCACAAAAGCAGTTTGAAATTTACATGAATCAGATGGAAGGCGTTGATTATTCCCGCGCAAAATCTAGTGCAGCAGCCTCGGTTTCGTATAGCAGAAATCAGACCCATGATGACGTGTTCAATGTCGATGATCACCCGTCAAATGTTATTGATATTGCACCATACAGTCAAATGTCACAATATAACCAAGGTGATGAAATGAGTTTGAATGATTCATCGTCACCGTCTAATAAATCTACCGATTATATGCATTTTATGTAAAACAATTTTGAACAAAACTATGTACAAGGTAGCATGATTTAAACACTAATCATATCAAATTACTAGCAATGATGTACGTGACATTTTCAAGGGGTTCGTTTGTGAATATTCCCCTTTGAATATCGGCACTGGTCTGAGAATAATTATGTTTCACTGAACCTGCTTACAGGGATACTGAATGCATAATTTTATTGAAAAGTTGCTAATGATTTTGACTAAGCATATCACATTACAAACAAGGTCTACCTTTTAATAGCTTAAATGTCTCTTTTCAACTCAAAAGTATGTTTATGAAAATACCACGTGACAATTAATTCATAATTGTAACGTTACATTGAGCAACGTCAGTTTGTTGGAACCGGCAACATCTGCATTTTTATATGTAGGTCGTATGCCTGAATTCACTAAAAAGTCAGACAGAATAAACTATTTCTTCAAATTTTTGTTTCATTTGCGATGATGCTGTATAAAGATGTAAAAAAAAATGCACTAATTCTAAATTAAAATTTTACACGAAGTTTGTGGATGATCTGGAATTGGCTTACCTATGGCGTTCTCAATGAAAATGGTCCTCAAAATGTTTAGCCGTAAACGAAACTATTAAAAAAGGCTAAAGATATAATTTGTTTATTTATTTCATAATGTTAAAAAATAGTTGATAAAATGACTTCGAAGTCACGTTTCATAATGTTCTCATATCTGAGTTACATTACTTGTTCAAAAACATAATGTCGAAAGCAATGGAGGAAATTTTGGTAGTTTGCCAATGTGTTTAAAAATTCAATGGTGTAAATGATGTACTAACATTGTAATTATAAAAGGATAACTATTTTTGATTCTATATGGAAGGTCAATAACAATTCATTGTGATCCAAAGGATGATTGATACCTTTGGCTTTTGGAAAATATTGTAAATTGTCGAATGCAATCCATTTTTTTAATAATAAAAAAAATTAACAATGAAAGGTTTCACATTGAAATGACTTGTGTATAAAACTCAAATGATTCTTGTGTGGCAGTTAAACACCCTGCGGGATGAATAACATGCGCCCAATAATTTATAATCCCCAGTGCTTTGAGATACAGTTAACGCGCTCTTTGTGTGGTAAAGAACTTTGAACAACTTTCTGATTTGTCCTTAGGTCAAAAGTTGCTGGGCAAAGTTTCTGTCCATTAAAAAGAGACAGCGACAGTCCAAATTTTCCTCAATCCCAGTAGACCAAATTTTTAAAGGTTGCATAGATTGTTTATTGATCAACTCCGTCATGAATATTTTTGAAATGTTGGTTACTGAAGTTTCAGTTTCAAACAACAGTCTCTCAACAATCATGTAATGATATAAACATCCTAACAAAGTGGACTGCTGGCAGATTCTCTAGTCTTTACTTTACTTGTTGTAGCAAATATACTCATGTTCAAGTGTGTTACTTTTCATGTAATAGGACTTTGTTGTTGTTTTTAACTGAATCACCTAAGCCACTTTTTACAGAGGATGACCTTCAGGTCATTCCGATGTATTGCTATCGCCTAAATTTCCATTATGCAAATTAGTTTTGGGATTTCAACCGATCTATAAAAATTATAGATCCGCGGTCATTACAAGGGAAAAAAGTGCATTTTTATACCTGCGATTCCGTTTTTCGTTCGTACGATGTTTCATCAAAAAATGGAATCATTTCAGTTCATGATTTAGTACTGAAAATTTGACTGAATTATCTCCTTTTAAATACGGTTTTATATGTTTAATTGGTGTTTAAGAAAGAGGTCAGGTGCTCATGTTCATTCATAAAATTATCGTTCATTCATTCATGAATTTATCGTAAAATCAAAATCACTACACAGGTCACACAGGTTGTATACGTAATGTCAAATGATTACCTGTAACCTAAAAATAAACAAACTTAACTGACTCCCTTTACTATAGTGTGTGATAACATTTTGTGAGGGAATTCGATGTTTGCCATACCACTGTTCATTTCAACGCACTTTATGACGATACCACTTTATCAATATGAATGAAATTTTTTGCAGTGTTTTAAGAAATAATTTTACTTTAAAATCGCGTATCATTTGTGAACTATTAAATGTTTTACATGGACGAATTTTCTGTATAAAGAACACACTAGATAAATTATTTTTGATAGCCTATTGCGAAAAAGTTTACTGTATTAACGTTCTATTCCATTAAATATGCCATTTTTCGCAGAAAAACATTTTATGCACGGCTACGCCAGGTAAAATTGTTGTTTATCCTAACAAAAAAATACAATTTTCAGTTTCATTAGAATATTATAATAATAATAAATCCCAAATTTATGTAGTCATTAGATAAAGTCCTTATATGTCCGATCTGCCTATTTTTGGACATCAAAAGACAATACGATCGTTTTAAGGTCAATTTCGTCTACCTCACACAATCTTGTTAGGCACTATAATGAAATGGACCTGAAATTTATTTCACATGTTTCCTGAAAATTGATAAATATCAAAGCAACATAGAGCTGTTTATTCTAGTTCGTATAATGACAATTTAATGTCATGTTTGTTTGTGATGACCCCCCTTTTCGGGATTGCATCAGAATTACAGTCATTTCGTATCGCATGAGGATGACACATATCAACTGAGCAATTATGTTTGGGAATTAGTTTTAAGAAATGATGTCAAAGTAACATTATGAAAATATTTTTAGTAAGCTGAAATATATATTTATTTTTCACATGTTTATGTCTTGTAAGATATTTTATTTCTTGCCCGTTTTTCAACATTTGCGTCTGGAAAGTTGAAATGTTTTAACTGAATGGTTAATTTAAATTTATTATGAAAATTGTTAAAATTAAATCAATAAAGGAAATTATTGCCCAGTTACAAACACTACCAGGGGACAATCCATATTGTTTTTTTTTTTAGGTATATGTTTCAGCACATGTATAATTAACCCCAACTTTAGCCTGGTAAACTTGTTGTCTCCTTGTGAAATATAAAACATATTTAAAATGGTTTCCTGCTAAAGTCTTTTATTGATATAAAGTTAAAACCGTCTTGCTTCTCACTAGTCAACACTCCTGTCCTGTCAGGTTTAATTCTTATATATATGGATGAAAAATAAAAGTCCACAAAGCATTAACATGGCAGCAATTGCTTTTACAGCCTTTAAGGCTTTGATTTTTTTTACAGAAGAGTGTCCACCATGCACTTGCACTGCACTATAATAATAGTAGAATAGAATGATATACAAAAAGATGAAAATTATATATACATGCAACCGTAATATTAATATAATATATAACAACAAACCAGTGTATTCTTTGGAACTATTATTATATTAGTATAATAGTCTAAGGTATACTGATTTGTATCACTACAATATAATAGTTATTACGGTGAGGTTGAATTTTCTGTCATTTATTCATCATCCAAGCAGGAACTTGTATCAGAAAAAAAAATCTCTGTAAATTAACCTCAGTTTCAGGTATAGAGATGTGATCTGTTTCTGTGACATGTGCTTTTGACCATACACAAGAACCTGCGGTCTTCCGATGTTCAGTACTTCAGTACTTTGATTTCATGTCGTGGCCTTTAAAGCCGACTATACGGTATGGGTTTTTCTAATTATTGAAGGCCGTACGGTGACCTATAATTGCTCACATCCACGTCCTTTGAACTGTGGTGGATAGTTGTCTCATTGGCAATCATAACACATCTCCTTATTATTAAATGTACTATAAAGTCCAAACAAAAATGTTCTTGCATGCTTACAGAAGAATAAATTAGAACTGTGATATTTGATGAATTCAAAGTGTTATGGTATAAACTGTTGACTCTGTTTTAATAATGAGATAAGTGATGTAGTACGTTTATGATACAGCACCCAAACGACACAAATAAACAAAATACATCTAGTAAGAACTTAGTCTTCAACAATAGAAAGTTGTGTATGCAGTTTATATCAAGCTCCAAATCGCCCCGAGTCTAGAAGAGTTTTTAATACTAGTTAATAAAACAGAAGCTAAAATTCTCAAAATAAAAAAAAATAAAAAAAACAACACTAAGAAATATACTAAGATATATCAAGAATAAGATTAAGATATATATACATGACATGATCACTGGCCACGTTTCTTACTTGGGACGGCACATGAATATATCGTGGGGTAAAATGAGCTTTTTAAGACCTCCCTCCTCTCCTTTTACTTACGCTCACCTGGCCCGAAGGGCCAAGTGAGTTTTTCTCATCACTTGGTGTCCGTCGTCCGTCCGTCGTCGTCCGTCGTCGTTAACTTTTTCAAAAATCTTGTCTACTGAAACTACTTGGCCACAATCATCATTGGGATATCAAGTATCCGATGACCCCGCCTGCTAACCAAGATGACCGACATGGCTAAAAATAGAACATAGGGGTAAAATGCAAGTTTTGTCTATTATTTTGAAAACCGTAATAAATAGAGAAAATCTGACAAGAATAAAAAATGTTCAGAATGATGAGCTCTACAAACTGTTCATGTCCGTCAAAACTGTCAAATGACTTCTTATAGGAGTTATTGCCCTTAAATGACACATTTTACCATTTTTTGCCTATTATCTTGAAAACTATAATAGATAGAGAGAAACTTTGAATTGAAAAAGTGATCAGTAAGGCAAGTTCTACAAATCTGTTTAACATGGTCGAAATCGTCAGTCGACTCCTTATTAGAGTTATTTGCCCTTTGATGACAATTTTTATCAAGTTTTGGGGTTTTTGTCTTATATCTTAAAAATTATAATAGATAGATAGAAACTTCAATAAGCAAAAATGATCAGCAAGACACGATCTACAATTAAGACTCCTTATTGGTGTTATTGCTCTTTAATGACGATTTACCATTTTTTTGGGGCGTTTTGCCTTATATGATAACAATTATAATAAATAAATGGACACTTTAAATCACAAAAATGACCAGCAAGGCAAGATCTATATATAGCTACTAACAAGTCAAATGTTGCTGATATAGTTAGTAGAATGTCACTCTGTATAGTAGTGATTGCCCTTAAATGAGGATTTTTTTACTGTCTTTTGTGTTTGGGCTAAAACTAAAGAAGATAGAGAGAAACTAAACAGACTAAATGATCAGCAATACAAGATCAACAAAACAGAGATTTTTGTCATGAATTCTATTCTCGTTTACAAAGTTGGAGAGTGTCCTTTGTTGAATATGCATATAGACCAAGGTGAGCGACACAGGCTCTTTAGAACCTCTAGTTTGATATCCATCAGTTGACTAACAATGGGTACTACACCAGTGACCGAGTTAGTCTGTTTAGTTCATCTTCAGTGATCTCTAGCCTGTACACTCTAAGGATGTGAGTTCGAACCTTGCTCATCGCGAGGTGTGATCGACTCATCGTTCTTTTCGTCCACTCCAGCTTCCTCCACCAATAAAAACTGTCCGATATGATATAGCCAAGGTCACTGAAAATAGTGTTGAATGCTAACAACATAAATAGCCCATATCTTGTAATTATCTCAATTATTTGATGTGTAAATAAAGGAAAATGTGATTTATTAGACTGTTTATATTTCTCTTTATTCGTACACGTTTTTCCATTTTGTTATTTTGTTAAAATGTAAATCATTTCTTTCAATTCCGGATTTTACTTTGTTAGGACAATCATGTAAATCTATATTTTCAATTAAGTTGCATTTAAAATATTTTACTTAATGTGTTTTAGTGGACCAAAATAAACATAGAATTAATGGATCAGTATTGTCCTAATCAAATATTTCATACCAATAGTGTTGTTGGTGTTTATAAATGGTACTTAGTGCTGTCTGTAAATATTAAACCAAGTTTATGTGGTGTTCGCAGCAAAATCAGATCACAAATAGATTCAGGCCTTATCTGCGACAACATTGAATATAAAGTTATAAATATATCTATAACAGTTTAACGAAGATGGAGAAGATAAAAATGTTGAAATCAAAAAC